ACCCTTTCACAGGGGTTGCCTAAGACCATCGGAAAACACAAATATTTCACAATATATGATTACATATTGTTTTGTGATTAATCACTATGCTTTAATGATGTTTAATTATGTTCAATTTGAAACAATGAAAATACATCCTGCATATCAGATGTTTCCATGACGATTCATAACAGTAGCCAAATTAGTTATGAAGTAGCAATGGAAATCATTGTATGGTTGGGGGTCACCACCACGTGAGGAACTGTACGAAAGGGTCGAGGCATGAGGAAGGTTGAGAACCACTGCTCTAGGGGCAGGGCTGGGGAACATGCAGCCTGCAGGCCGTAGGATCATCGGGTACCAGCGAACAACACACGTGTCACCAAAGGAAAGCAGTCCCAGCCATCCCAGTGGGGTCGAGTTAATGAAATGTTGGCCCAGTCTGGTCTGTGAGAGATGTTGTACATAGCCCAGTGGCCCTTGGTAGGAAAAAGGCTCCTGGCTCCCGCTCTGGAGTCTAGTGGGTGAGACCACAACGCTGCTCTTCAGAGCTACGATGAGTAAGGATGGACGAGGCGGCAGTGATTCTGGTTTGGGGACAGGGTTTCACAAAGAATGCTAACAAGGCAATGCAGATGGCCGTGGGGAAGGGTGGGCCACCATGGGAGGCCCAGCATGAGTGGCTTGGAGAGTCCCAGGGAGAGATGGAGCACCGGAGACCCGCAAGACGAGGCAAATACTGCGGCCGGCAACTAACTCACTGATCTTGTCTGCTTTGGGCTGGGCGCCGTGGTGGTGCTGGTGGCGGTGAGCTACTGCCTAGGCGGTCCCCGACCCAAAGTGACCCTCTTGCCTAATGGGGCAAAAGGCTGCCCAGCCCTGCACCAGGCTGCTTGGCAGAGGGACCCTGGCTACGCTGAACCAATGCCTAGTCTGTTTTCATCTGCAAGCTCTGTTGACACCTGTTGAGCTTTCAGAGGGACGCACAGGCCTCCGCTGACAGACAGGGAGCGTCTGCACATGAGGCACATTGATAGGAATCGAACCAGGGTCTCTCCACTGAAGGTGAGGATACTACCACTGAACCACCATGCCCCAGGCACAGTGGAGGCTGCCAGTGACGGAGACAGAGAAGCGGTATCTCGTGGGGTGTATCACGGGATCCTTGTCTGGGCAGCAGCTGGGCTGGGGCAGTGGCGTTCTACGCAGAGGGAAGAGGTTTGATGCCGCACGAGGAACAGAGTGTGGCCAGTTAGAAACAGTGACAGTTTCAGGAGGCCAGAAGGTGATGCCAGCTGAGAGGGTGGTCCCGATGGCCTTGACAACTAACTGGCCACAGCTTTCACTGGCTTCTCCTAACAAGGACCAAACCCCTCCGCAGTCTTGGCCAGCGAGGAAAAGCCTGAGGCAATAGCACCTGGCAATCACTCTCGCCTCATTTCCTCTGTCTCCCTGCAGCCGTGATGACAATGACCTTTCACGAGCACAAGAGAGGGATGCTGAAGTTCGGCTGGTGAGACTAACACCTGATTGCCAGGGAACCTGGGTGAGTCACAAGGGGAAGATATCAGATGGGAATTACAGTGATGGGCACATTTGAAGAAAACGCACCCCCGCTCCCACGCCATGCCCTACTTTCCAATCAGAGACTCAGTGAATAGAAGAAGCTCTTTATCAATTGGGAGCAGCCAGAATTCAAGCCTGATTAAGAAGGGGACATAGAATGTGGGGTATCACTGCCGATGTTAGATGGATCTTGGCCGAAAGAAAAGAATACCAGAAATATGCTTGCCTGTGTTTTATTCACGTGCAAAGGTATTAGACTATGTGAGTCATGACAAAGTATAGGTACCCTTGGGCAGAATGGGAATTCCAGAACACTTCTTTGTGCTCATGTGAAACCTGCACATACATCACCAGGGAGTTGTGGGAACGGAACAAGGGCGTACCGCATGGTTTTCAATCAGAAAAGGTGTGCGTCAGGGTTGTATCCTCTCACCATATGTGTTCAGTCTATACGCTGAGCAAATCAATCATCAGAGAAGCTGGACTATCTGAAGAATTCAGCATCAGGATTGGAGGAAGGTTTATTAACAACCTGTGATAGGCAGATGATAAGTTGACGTCCTTAATGATGAAGACCAAGAACTATAGTCTGCAGTATGCATTCCATCCCAACTTGGATAAAACAAGTCCTCACAACTCGACCCATAGGCAACACCGTGGGCAGTGGAGAAAAGATCGACGCTGTCAAGGATTCCATCGTACTTGGACCCACAACCAGTGCCCAGGGAAGCGGCAGTCAAGAAATCAAAGATTTTAAGTATTGCACTGGGCCAATTGGCTGCAAAAGACCTCTTTATAAAGAGTGAAGATCTTACTAAGATGTCCCTGATCCACAGTGTGGAATTTCTAATGGCTTCATGTGCATTTGGAAGCTAGACCATGAGTAAGTGAGATGGAAGTCTTTGAATGATGTCAGTGAAGACGGAATATACCACAGGCTGCCAGAAAGAGCAAAGCAGTCTTTGGAAGGAGTGCAGCCGAATGGTCCTTAGAAGCAAGCATGAAGAGATTCATCTCCCGCATGTTGGACATGGCACCAGGACGGTGGAACCCCTTGGTAGGCTCAACAGTTTCTGACCACAACAACACAGCGTACAGAACCTCAACCCCCACTAATAACTCCCTATCACGCTCACCCCCCCTAACTGCAAGTCATACTGATGTACGTCACTTACGCAGCTTGCATTCATGAGTTCTTGAGCTGTTAGTGGACGCACACGCAGACTGTTCTCTTGAGCCCCTATCGCAGGGTTCTCCACGGCTGACAACTATGACATGTCCCTGCTGCTCTTTCACTTTGAATCCTGTCAAGCGTATTGGATCCCTGGGTATGGAATGTGCGATAAAATCACAAATAATTTTATTTTGTAGTGGATTGCATATACTTTGCCTCGAATAAGCATTTCTGAAGTCTGCAACCTGTTTATGGTTATTTATTCACAAAGCGTTCTCAAATAGAAACCAGCTCACTGCCACCGATCGATTCTGATTCACGGGGACCCTGCAGGACAAGGTAGCACTGTTCCCGTGGGCTTCCCAGAGTGCTGGTCTTGACGGGATCGGGAAGCCTCTTCCTGCTCCTGCAGAGCAGCCAGTGCTTAGCAGCTGCTGGCCTTGCTAGCAGCCTCTCGGATCCCCCACACCACCACCAGGGTTCCGGACACTGCATTCTGGAGATGGTTGTAAACACTGATTTAGAATCAGCAAATATCTAGGATTTTACATAGCATGTTAGAAATATAAAACCCCAAATGCTTGCTGACTCCATATCAGTGTTTATCAGCAGAGTGTGAATAACTGGATGAAATGATAAACCCGTCTTAGTGTTTTCCACCCTTCATTCCAATTTAGCACACATTTGAAGGTCTGGTTTCTAATCCCCCCACCCACCCACCCTTGGATGGTTCTAATCTTAGCACCGGATCAAAAATAGATTCTTTTGAAGCCCATGTAAGAAAGACATGCAGTCAAACGGCCAAGCACGTGTTCTGCGTGGTCTGCGTCTGTCTTGTATAGATCAGTCATACTGCATGTTACCACGTTACTCTCACTAGCAGGGCCCAGGCTCATTCGTCACTTAGCTGTTCTTCCGGTCCATCAGCCTGTAAACCACAACTGCAGGTGGTATCGGTGCCCGAGCTTCAGGCAACGGAGGCGGCCTTCTGCTGTCATGGGGGCGAGAATGACTGCTGGCCTGCGATGTCGACTCCCCGGGCTCTGCTGGCATCCCGGCAGTGCGGCCACCACGTTATGGTCTCGCCACTGGCTGCTGACTTGTGGCAGCCACATGCACAACAGAGCAAAATGCCGCCTGAGCCGGCTCTCTGCCCCACGTGGGGGGACTCCTCTTTGCGCTGTACGGATGCTGCACCGTCCTCTGTAAGGTTTCCCTTGGCTTATAGTCTCTTTAAGTTGATGGCCAGTCCTTGATTCCAAGTCGCCTCGTGATTTTGCTTTGAGCCTCCTAGCAACACGCAAGCCACTGCACGATGGCAACTTCTCGGTGGGACCCCGCTGTGGACTTCGCCTGTCTGCACTAACTGGTGCCTACTTCTGCTGTGCCCCAGGGGCAGGTCCGGGGCCTTCCAGGGCACCGGCTCTCGGGAACCGATGCTTCCCCAGCTCTGTTCATCACCCAGTTGCTCACAACCCCAAAAGGATGCGGCGCGGTGCCGCCCTCTCCCTGGAAATAGTGCCCGCTGCCCTGCAGGCAGGCGCTTGAGGGCCGGCGTGCACTTGGCAATCGCACAGACCGCCTCCCTGGCTGCCCAGCGAGTTTCTCGCCCCGTCAGAACTGCAGACACGTGTGGCTTGCAAATATGTGCACGTGCTTGGGGAATGATGGGAGGAAGCTTCTCCCAGAGTGACGCAAACCCAAAACGTGGCACTTGAGTTTTTACGGAAAAATGCCTAACGATCATCTGACCAAGATCGCCGCCCTCTGCCAGATTTCAGCAGCTGAACGAGTCGGGGTGCGCAGGCCTCTGTGGGCTCGCATGTCCCGCTTTGTTGTGAGGGCGCCCCAGAGGAAATGCCGTGTGAGATGCACACACGAGACATAAACGTTCAGTGCCCTGGGACGCCCCTGGAAGACTGGCTTCGTAGAAAACGCCTCGAACGAGCCAGCACTCGGTCTGGGTTTTCTGACTGTTTGTGGGAAGCGCGGCCGCAGGTGGCGAGGGTTCTCTTCGCCTCAGACAGCATCGTCGACAGGAAACTTTGTGGGCGAACACCATTATGCTCAAGTCCAGTTTTTCCCAGCTTTGTAAGACCCCCTCGTGCATCTCCTTTTCTGAGTGACAGAGGAGCAGCGAGCGAGCCCTCGCACCAACCTGAGTGTCTCCGTGCAAACGGGAGAAGGAATGTATCCGGACGAGCCTGGGAAAAACCCAGATGAAACAAAACTCTGAAGAGTTCACAGACGAAGCCTCGGAAATAACATGACGCAGAGAGCGTTTCCGTAAAGAGCATATTGTGCCAATTTATTATAGAATGCAGTTAAAAAAATAGTTTGATGTTAGCCCCTCCAGGTTAAAAGCACTTTAACTAGAAACATGAAACAGCAATGTAACGGTCTCTCCCTCACCTGCCCCCGCCCCGACCAAGCACTGTAAACAAAGTTTGGAGAACATTCGATGCATTTGTTGATAGGAACAACCCAAGGAGTTAACGCAAGAACGTGTTGTGCTTCTTAAAAAAGACCATCTGCTGCTATTTTCAAAGCATGCATTGTGACTTGGCATTAAGGATTTCAAAATGGCACACTCTGTTAGGGTAGTTTTTAAGGCCCAAATATAATAACCTATGTACCGGACAGACACGTTACAACCAGAGAAGGAAAAAGGACCAGTGTTACCTAGTGCGACAATTTCATGGGGAACGGACAGGGAAAGGCACTGCGTCCCTCTCATACCACCACACAGCTGCCACCCACGTGACATGCTTGGGATTCGAGTCCGGTAAGAACGGTTTGACAGCGTTTTCTACCACACACCACTCACAGCAAGGTTCATACATGTTAACACTAGTCTCCCACCGCCAGCTTATCACCCACGTCTACGACAGTGATGAACAGGTGCTATCAGCTTTATTTACAAGTTTGGCCGATATTTCAGTAGGGGCCGAAAGGAAGATGACGACGGCCGTACCTAGCAGTCCCCGAACGAACGGGCATGTGGCTGGATTCGTGGGCATTGACCACCACGTGAGAGAGACAGATGGAACCCAGGTCCAAGGTCTCGCCCAGGGAGGCTGGCAGTGAAACTGCTGTTCTCTGGGTTTTGTCGGCTAAATTCTACTTTGGCCTTTCAGACCCAAGCCTCTCCTGTGAAGCGCCAGTTCGGGTGCCGGGTGAATGCGGTCTGGGGCTAAGAACAAAAACCAGACCAACACAAACCCGGGAGCCGGGGCCAAAGAGAGCCTCTCTCTGCGGGGACAACGGGTTCCCACTGCTCCCCCGGCTCTCCGGAGGCCGTAGGTCCCCACGGAGGAGCTTTGTACACGGACAGAGGTGAGTTCTGGCAATCACGAAGATGGGGACATGCACGGACACTAAGTGGGAGGTGAGCGGGGGTGGGAAAGGAAGCCCTCCCAAGTCCACAGGGCGCCTGCTGCTGTCTTCACAGCCTGCACCGGCGCCCCATCTGCTCACTGCCGGCGACTCCGTGGGACCACTGGTCAACCTGCCCGCGGCACGAAACCTAACAACCTACCAGAACAGAACAAGGACGAACGACTATCATTATTAGTTTTCTCAAAGGCGTTCCCCAGTGTCCCTGTGCGATCCCCACGGGCTCGGTGATGGGCCCAGGACGGGACGTCCCAGGGCCGCGGGCACGGGCTGACGGGCGGCACTGGAACAAGACCGAGCCTCGGTGCTCTTCCAAGCAACATGGACTGGGATTTTCTGCCACAGCGGTCACGGCGGCTGCCACTTCCAAAGTTGTGACCGGCCCTTCGCCCAGTCAAAGGATGGTCTGAAATGCTGCTTCCCCCGGCCGGTTCAGCTTAAGTGGATCGGTGTGTACTCCGGCCTCCTGGTCTGGATGATTTTGGGTTTGGGTCTCTTCATCTTCTCCAGCTCGTCTTCCTCTTCGTTCTCTTGGTCACTCTCACACACGTGGACCACCACGCTGGGGGTGGTGTCCGTGGCTGCGTGCAGTTCGTACTTCTCCCCTGGGGAAAGAAAGGAATCACAGAGTGACCCGGAGCAACAGACAATGGAAGGGCATCCGCTCAGGGTCAGCTGGGCCCAGCTTCTGCGCGCACTCAGTGGGGCCAAGAGACACACATGGAGGCACAGTGGGGTTTCTGTCGGGGCGCCCTCAGAAAAAGATACATTTACCAACAGCGTGCTGACAGCACACTGGAGCTTGGAGGGAATGCATGATTGTTTTTTAAATGACGGTTCCTGGGTGGTGCAAGGGAGCCCTCACAGCGCAGTGGTTACACGTTGGGCTGTGATACAAAAGATCCTCAGTTCAAAACCGCCAGCTGCTCTGAGGGAGAAAGATGGGGCTTTCTACTCCTGTAAGCAGTCAGGAGTCTCGAGTCTCGGAGATGCACAGGGGCAGTTCTGCCCTGTCCTACAGGGTCACTATGAACCAGGACCGACTCAATGGCAGCGTGAGAGAGAGGGTGGCGTAAATGCTGAATCCAGCCGGCTGCTAACTAAAAGGTTGGCTGGTGGCTGAAGTCCATCCAGAGGCACTGGGGAAGAGTCCTGGTGACTGCCTTCCAGGCAGCCAGCTCTCAGCAGCCAAGGGGCACAGCTGTTCTGATGTCAGCACACAGCAGGGTAGCCATGAGGCAGCGCTGGCTCAACCACAGCTAGTTTTCAGTGCATCGTGGCAATGCTGAAGGCCAACCTCAAGGTTGGCGGCTCAAATTCACCAGCCACTCTTTGAGGCTGCCTGCTCCTATCAGAATCTACCACCTCACAAACCCTATACAGGGAATCTACCAAGTCCCTAAAATACCCGAGAGTCAGAATTCCCCAAAGTATGGTATGATTTCCCCAGCCAGGTCTCCTGCTCAGGCTTCCTGGGTGTATAGGGCACCGGGAAGCCCTCTGACTGAGGAAATGCTAAATAACGTCCCTGGTCAGAGCAGGGTCCTGTGGCATCCCCTTTTCTGCCTGCGCTTTACACTAAGATGCAGGCTGGCCTGGGCCACCCAATGTGGACACACAGCCTTGTTCCCACCCCAGACTGCTTGTGACGAGGGTCTGCATCTGGAGCGGAAGGCCGGCTGAGGAGCACAGCGGTCAAGAGCCAGGAGCTGGCCACTGGGCACGTGACCTCTTCCTGCGCCCCGCAGTCTCTTCCCCTTTGAAACGGACGGATGGTGGCACCGACCTCTGGGAATATGGATGAAATGAGTGACCGCAGGCAAGGCGCTTGGTACACGGCTCAGGAGTGCCTGGGCCGGGCCCCCCAGTGTACTCCAAGGGGGCCTGCATGCTTGCTCTCCTCTGGAATGCTGTGGGAATGGAGATGCTGGGAGTGTTCAGTGTGGATACAGGGCTTGTGTCGGGTCGGCTTGCTCACTGTCTCCTCAGAGAGGCCAGGGGAGGGTCGTCCACAAAGGCCTTGTGGGCAACTTGTCTTCACAGCTCTGGGCCATTGAGCAGAAATCCCTGACTGCCTTGACCCCTTGACTTCAGCTGAGTTCTGTCTGGAAGCAGGGCTTCCTCCTCACGCGGTGCGTGACCAACTGCAGAAGGCACTGTGGGTCTAAACGGCTGGAGTCGAGTTTCCCTAGAGCAGCGGTGCTCAACCTTCCTACCGCTGCGACCCTTGAATGCAGTTCCTCATGTTGTGGCAACTCCCCCCCGCAACCATAACATTATTTTTGTTGCTACTTCATCACTGTAATTTTGCTACTGCTATGAATCAGGTTACCCCTGTGAAAGGACCGTTCGACCCCCAGGTTGAGAACCGCTGCCCTGGAGGCACTGCAGAAGAAGGGCCTGCGACCTGCTTCTGGGGCCTCAGTCCCTGGAGACGGTCTGCAGCACAGTCCCGTGCTGACACACGTGGCATTGCCTCATGTGAGTCACCCAGGGGCAACGGGGCTTTGAGTTCATCAAATGGCTGTGCCCTTCTCTCCCCGACACGGGAGCCTGGCCGTTTACTGGGCTGGAATCTAAAAAGGAGACCGAGCCTTAGCTCTCCAGCTCAGGGGAGGGAGAACTGCAGGATGGAGGGAGGCTCAGGCAGAGCACCTGGAATGTACCATTTGGCCGGGAGCCTCTGTATAGACCTTCACCGTCTAGTGGTTGGTCGGAAGAACTTGCCCGTCGGTAGCAGGGACTGCCTTCCTCTCAGCTCTGGCATGCACCTCGGGCTCCAAGCCCTCTGCTTTGCTTGGCCCCGTGGGGGTGGGGGGCATGGAGGAGCGCCCGCTGCCCTCCCACTGGCTGCCCCCCATCCTGACCTTAGTGCAACGAGCAGCGGGAGGTAATGGGATCTGGACTTTCTACCACACAGGGGATTTCCGTTGGGGTGATGCTTTTGGAAATGCAATCTTTTCCATGCGAAACTGCTGATGGCCCAAGAAAATGAAGCCCTCGGCCCACAGGAACATCAGCTTGCTGGTCAAGGAGAAAGGGGAGGCTGATGGTCTCAGCGTTTAGTTCCTTCCTTCCGCGAGCAGGGCAAGTGGAAGGGCTCCGACCTCTTTGTGGCCCCACCCCTCACTGGCACCCATCCAGACCACACTGCTTTCTAAGAGCCTGCGCCGAGCACGGACCAGGGACTGAGCAGGCGCTGTTCTAGATGCGCTTCGTAATGCTTCAAGTCTACCACCTGCAACACCTCCCAGCGACACTGAGCTAGCTGGCTTTCGACTCCTGTAAGGACTCACAGTCTGAGAACCCCCCGGGGGAGTTCTACCTGTCCTGTAGGTTCACTATGAATTGGTTTTTTAATTTCGAGATGAGGAGCCAGAGGTCTCCCTGAATGCTCACTCCTTCGTGCCACTGGGTTACCTGTGCCCCGGCAGGGGGCAGAACCTCTACATTCTGGTCTCAGGCAAGGTCAGTGTCAGTGGGGCAGTGCCCTGGGCAGTGATGGGGGTGGGGCATCTGTAACTGGGCTCTCTTTCGCTGTGATCTGAGATCCTCCTCCCCTCCTGCCTGGAGAATGGAGGTGAGAATCAGAGCAATGGGCTAAATCACCTTGGCTGAGGTTGGACTTCCAGAAGGGAGATGGACTCTCTTTTGCTAGAGACAGGGCCTCAGGAAAGGGTGGGGTGGGGTGCCAGCCACCAGCCAGGCTGTGCTCAGTCACCAGATACCTGCCATCAGGGGCCTGGGCTTGGCCACCCTGGCCAACAAGGGTCTCTTTTGTAATGTTCCCAAAAGAATGGCGTGAGAAGAGGCATGCACACTCCCAGCACGCCTGACAGCGACACCCAAACCCAGCCACCTGCTGCCATGTTGGTCCTAGCTCACAGCAACCTCATGTGTGCAGAGCAGAACCCTGCTCCATAGGGTTTCCAAAGGCTGTGATCTTTCGAGAACTGTCTGCCAGTTCTTTTTTCTGAGGCACCTCTGGCTGGGTTAGAACTGCCAACCTTTTGTTTAGCGATAACCATTTGGGCTACTGAGGGACTGCTCAGTGACACCTACAAGCCAGACTTGTTGCTGTTAGACGGATTTTGACTTCTGGCAAGCCTGCGTGTGAAAGCGTTGAGCTTTTCTATCGAGTTTTCTTGGCTGACTTTTAGGGAACCAGACAGTAAGGACTTCCATCCAAGGCACTGCTGGGCAGGTCCGTGGTAGTTACATAATCTGGTGTCAATTTGGGACTTGAGAGGATTAAGAGTGAAGGGGTGGAGTCTAGTCTGTCAATCGGGTCATAGCCAATGAGGCCTCTGTGTGGGCATGGCCTTCCACTGATGATTCTGGGAATTTCCCTATTTCCTCCTTGGAGGCGGGAGAGACTCTTTCTCTCTGCTCACTCTCTGAGAGACCTCTATTGACAAGACACATGGCAATAAGCTGATAGAACTTGTGCCCTGGGAACTGGAGAAGACCTATGTGGAGACCCCTGCCAGCGCCGAGATACTTCTACCACTACTCAATCCACAAGACTTTGTACCCACTGGCCTGTGATCTTCCTGCATTCAGTATCACTGCATGTGTTTCGTGAGTCTGAAGGGGGCTTTACACATTGGTATCGGACATATGGGCTAATATCGGACTTATGGACTTGATCTGTACCGGCCGGGATGTTTTCTCAAGATTCTACTGCTCTTGTATATAAATATCTTTCCTACACATACAAAAGTATCCATGTTTCTCTAGTCTACCCAGACTAACACAAGGTCCACAACACCAACTTTTAGGCTAGCAGTTGACTGCGTCCCTTTGAGCCACCCAGGAGCTTATGAAACCAAAGCAGGAGGGCCTAGCTGGAAGTCATTCCTGAAACATGCAGCATGGAAACACGCGGGTGAGGACAGGAGCTATGGGGACAGTGCCCGACGCAGTGAGAGCGGACTCACCTGGCCCTAGCTTGGAGATGGCGTATAAAAGGTCATAATTAATGACGGGAGTTGCATCTTCCACTTGTTTCCAGCCCACGGGCGGGGAGGCAGGAGGTGAGATGAGAAACTGCTTGTCGGGATTCGGTGGGGCCAGGTGTGAACTTCCTATGTGTAAAGTCTGAGGAGACAGAGACAGGAAGGCAGGCCGGCGTTTAGCGGCAATGCAGCAATGCTAGTCAGGTGTAATGATTCCTCCTGTGGTTAGAAGACTGTCTGGGCAGTGCTTCAACATCTTCCCGGCCTTGTTGCTCTTTGTCCCGCAACATTTTCCTCTAAATTTCCCCAAGGAGCCAGAAGGAGGTCATGAGCGCACTAAATGGCTCTTCATCGAGCCGGCCATGCCCTCCTGTCCATTCCGACTCACAGCGGCCTTCTAGAGGCTCTCTGGGGCTGCAAGTCCTTACAGGAATAGGCAGCCTCATTTTTTTGCTGAGAAGTGGCTAGTGGGTTTGAACCCCTCACCTTGTGGTTAGCAGCCCAATGCTTGCCAGACAGTGCCACCGGGGACCCTTACTAGTCACAGAATAATGGCCAGCACCAAATGTTGAAAAGCGTGTGCTCACAGGGGGCCCGGAAAGTGCCCACACAGCTGCACTCGGCTCCACCAGGGAGCAGAGCATCCTGCCTGCTCCCTGGAATCTGCTGGACAGGTTGCTCTCAGTTTATGTGAAGCAGGGCATTCTGAGAGTTTGGAAAGCTTGTCTCCTGTTGGCAGGAAGCCTGCTCAGTCGGACTGGCTCCCACCTTGGCGTGGTCTCAGAGCCCCCCTGGGGCTGGCCTGTACTGGAGAGCAGAGTCCTGGGAGCTCCTGGCCCACCCTGTCCAGCCTGGGCCCCTGTCCTGTCTTCACAGGGACTTTCTGAGCTACCTTGACAGTGGGTCACCTGCCCATTAAGATCTCGGGGATGGCTCTGGAGAGAGGTTAAAACACAAAAACAAACAAACAAACAAACAAACAACAACAACCATAAAATCCCTGACATTGACCCATCAAGACACTATACAGCCCAGGTGTAACCACTCTGCCACCAGGGATCCTTGGAGAGACAGGTGAGCAGGTGAAGAAGCCCATCTGTGAGTGCCCTATTTGCCTGGGCCCCATGGCAGCCTCACCCTGGTGTGCCAGAGTCCTAGGAGGCTGTTTCTTCTCCAGGGCTGACTGGACACCTGGTTCCTGAACTGAGGGAGGGACGGGCACGTTGCCGTCTGCTGGGAACCAGCAGAGAGCTGGAACCAGCCACCTGGCAAGGGCAATGTGAATACCAGCGGCGCCCCGCCGGACCACCTCACTCTAGAGCCTCCGTGCCCCCTGCCTGGCACTGGTCATCACCCAGGATCAGGGCCTGTTTGACACAGCTTTTCAACACACCTTGACATGTTCTTTCTTTGGCGGAGACATTTGAGAGCACATGTTACCTTTCTCGAGATGGAGTCTTGGGAGGTTCAAACAAACAAACAAGCAAACAAACAAACAAACAAACAAACCCCCCCAAAGCGAAGGAGCCATATCAGCAAAGCTAGCTCACCTGAGCAAAATATAATTTCATCTCCTTCCCCAGAAACTCAGTCTTGTGCAGCTGGAGTCTGGCATCGGCTGCAGACAGAGGGTTGCTGAAGTTTATTCGGACTCGTTTGAAGCTCTTAAAGTATTGGAAGGTGATGTCCTTGTCATAGGTCCTAAAGAGCGATTCAAACTTGGCCTGAAAAAGTTACAGTAAACACACAAAAAGTTAAAATTCACCTGCCTACTGAATCCTGATCAGACGACCTCATTCCACTTCCTCGTGAGGAAGAGAAGGAGCAATTGGAGCAGGGAGAGCCCTGGCCTTTCTCCCGAGGATGCCCTTCAAGGGGACTGCATGGAGCCACGAGACACATTCGTTGCTTCTACTCTGCAGTGGCTCTACTCTTTTTTTGGTCTAAGAACATAAGCGTTTCATTCACAGAACAAGCAGTACTTGAACTGATTTTGTCGTTCAGAGAAGCATCTTGTAAGCAGAGTGAGCATTCTCCAAGGCAGGCCGAAGCGCTGAGCTCACTGCCCGGGGCCGGCTTCAACTCAGCAGCCCAACTGCCCCTGCGGTTTCCGAGACTCTTAATCTCTATGGGAGGAGAAAGCCTCGTGGGCTTTGAACTGCTCACCTGACGGTCAGCAGCCCAATTTGCAGAGTCTGGCCATCTGCTTACCCCCTGGCCTGTCCATTTCTGCCCAATGACTTCCCTGAGTCTAGCTGGCTAGCCCCAAGCCCCTCCCAGAGGTCGAATGAATATCTTCTTCTCTTTTTTCATGGAAACACACGTCCGTTCCCAGCCCACTTTGGAAATTCAAGAGCCCGAGCATCCATTTCTTTCCATAAACAAGACTCTCATCAACTCTAGAAGGATTCTGATTACCAGTTCTCAAACAAAGTGAAGACAAAAAATACTTCTTTAGGGATTAAAAGCACAGGAGCTAATTTATGAAAAGCATTTTGCAGCTCTCTAAAATCAGATGAGGCTTACAGAGTTAGAGTTTTAGAAACCCTCCATAGGGTCACTATGAGTTAGAATGGACTTGTTGGCAGCTGGTAAAATAATCCAGGTTCTAAAAAAAAAATTATACTACAATGCTTCAATTTCTGTATCCTGGCTTTAATACATGAACAACCAGCTCTAGTGTTGCAAGGACTGGTGAACATTAGGAAGCATGACAAGATCACCACCAGTCAGATTCGATTTGATGAGCTCTTGGACTGAAAAGCCAATGTTCAAGATTACAAGCTTAGATCCAGACAACAGAACTCATTGACCTCCTCCTGTTTCTGAGAAGCTCTGGCCAGAGGCCCTGGGCTGGGCCCTGAGTGGCGTGGAGTAGGGTGGGAAAGGCCAAGGCGGTGCCGATCTCTGCAATGCCTCAGATGCCCACTGGAGGGCGTTAGTGGCCAGGGGAGCCATCTGGGGAGAATGCCAGGGTTTTTATAGCTGCTGTGCAGCTGAGTCTCATTTTCAAAACTGCACACTCAGGGCTGCTGGTGGGAGCCAGTGTGAAAGGCGGAGGAGTCGGGATCAAGGGGTGATGCAGAAGAGGGCACAGAGAACCCGAGGTGCTGTGAACTCCCGCGGAAAGTAGTGCCGTGCAGTGCAGAGTGCAGGGAGCATCACAGAGGACAGGAAAACAGCTTTTAGAATCGTCACAGTGCCCCTCAGGCGAGTGGGGACAGGAATACAAGGTGCACCTGCCAGGGCAGGGCTGCCTGCAGGAGGGGCTGCCAGGTCCCCCATCTGCCCGCTGGTGCTTGTGAAAGGAGAAGAGATCAGCTCAGTTCAGACTTGCTCTTTGTGGACCCCTGGGGCTGTTCTCTAGTGGGTGCGCTGCTCTGGCATTCCCTGGGCTCTCTCTGAAAAGGCCCCAGAGAAAGAGCGCAGAGAGATGCTCAGTCCCTGCACTGGCTGTGAATGGC